GGGGGGGGGGGGTATTTTTAGTTTTTAAAAAAAATTCTAAATAAACATACAGTTAGGACCGATATTTATATTCTGATTTTAATAGTGAAAAGCTTTTGGGAATTTAATAATGATAGAAATAGGCTAAGTAATTAATATCCATTTCTTATATTCATGAAACTGTGCCACACAAGTAGCACAATTTTAAACAATTCAAACGCTTTCATTTAATACCATTGATGACAAAAGTACACTGTTTGTGTGCGCCTGTTAAATACCTTTTCTTTTTTTTTAAAATTCAATTTCTTCGAGTTTTTTTGTTTTTTTTATATAGTATAGCTTAACATTTATGAAAGGCTGCGACTATTTGTACCCGGGTACCAGAATTGAGAGGTTGGGATTAAAAAAACTATTTAAAATATTATTGTTGGGTTTGTAAGACAAAATGAGGTATCAAATGAAAGATAATTGAATGGACGATATGTTTGTAAACTTAATTCTTCGGTTGAACCAAAGTAAACTACCCCAAATTATACCCGAATAGCTTGAGTCTAATGGTAACCGGGTGCGAATGGCGGCGCTGCGTGTCTGGGTCCATTTTGACTCAGTAGTTCCACTAATTTTAATCGGTGGAAAGCACATGTTGATTTTACAAAATGACACTTTATGGGGGGGGGGGGTTATAACATATATTTTCGATGTACAATTTTCGCCGGGGGGGGGGGGCACTTGACATTCTCCAAGGCTTTCTTTTGATTTCTGGCAAAATGGGGCTATTGCTACTGGAGCTATGCGCACCGTTGACGAACGTATATACGTGTTCAAGATGCGGGATTTTCATTACAGGTACTGTCACTTTTGGCGCATGCTATGCTGAATGTACGCAACCCCGAAAATGAAATGCCCTTTTTAAAAAAAACAAAAAAAAAAACATTTAAAAAGAAAAAGTAAGTGTAGGTCTATACGTTGGCGTAGGAAGGGTAGGGCGGTCCGCCCTGTATGGCACTTTTTTCTTTATACTGCGGGGTGGCATTTTCAGCAACTGCAGATTTTTGTTCAAAAGGTCAGGGGAGGCGTAAACAAATTCTAGACCCGCCCCGGGCGGCACCAACCATGGACCATAGTGTCCATAGCTACGCCACTGGGTTTACGTATTACATAATAGTGTACTGTAACTCATTACGCATATGCCTCAAATTCAATTGTTAAAATACGGTTTGTTCTAATTATAAATATATACATTTATAAAATTATTATGAAAATGAACATTTAATCACTAGAAAATATTCCATGTAGTATTGTTTCGTTCCTAAAAAAATATAAATTTTTAATACACCACACACATCCGTATTGGATTGTTGTTATTACACTGAACGACGACGCGTGCGATCTGGAAGGTTCAGTTGTGTTATTTTTTAAACCAGATTAATCAAGTAAAAAAAAATAAAAATTGTTTCATTTGCTTTCACAGGCTTGAGAAAAACCTGACTGAAATCGATAGGGTAAGCAATGTTAATTAATTCTCAGTTATTTTTCATGACAATAATTAATAATTGATTCATAATAATAAAATAATTGACATCGGGATGAGTTCAGTAAAGTAAATATGGTAAAAGTGCAGTTCAGGTACGTATATTAATTCTTAACGCATTTCGTATTTTTAAAAATTTGTATCATGTAAACTTACGTGTATTATTTAATAATTAAATACAGACAGTCATAGTTAATTAATTCTGAATTATAAGTCGCATCTTTTCTTTTTATTTTACTTCTAAACTACTAAAGAGTCTTTAACTTTAACTTAAACCATCCCCCAACCAAAGTGAGACAGCCCCATTTGTTTGTATTTTTCTTTTCACCCTATGCCAGATTTTTAGCCACCTATAAGTTGGTATGCTAAACGAAATTTTCAAACTGTAAGCATGTTCACAAAAAAGAATGAAATACTAGATTTTTCATTATGCACAAGCCACCCCCCTCCCCCCCCCACCACTTTCTTTTTATCTCAGAGCGCTCGGGATATAGGGGTTGTCCTTTGAAGTGGGGGGGGGGAATTAGAAGTGGATCACTGACTAAGGCAGGGGACACACACGTCATCATTGTCCTGAACCTGGAGGGAAGCTGAAAAAAGAAAAGGAAGGGGGGAGGGGGTGCACGAATAC